CTATCCGGCCTTCGCCATTTGGGTTGGTTCTCGATAGAATTTTTGATGAAATTTTTTGAGCATCTTATTGAGTAAGACTAGTTTACTCATACCAAATTTAAGCTAAAAATTTAATCAGGAAGCCATTCAAATGAATTCTTTAAGATAATTTCGCATTTAAAAGCGCAATTATCTTCAAAAATTCATTTGAATGACTTCTCGATTAAATTTTTATCTAAAATTTGGTATGAGTAAACTAGACTTAATGAATAAGATGGTAAAAAAAATTCATCAAAAAGTTCCACCGAGAACCACCCCAAATGGCGAAGGCCGGACAGAGCCTCATAAATAAGGCCTTATTTGACCCTTTTTTTGTTAGTACGTGGCCTTATTTGCCTCTTTTCCCTATAAGACCGGATATATTTCTATTCTCGGTACTATATATGTTTATCCTTTAGTGTTCATAGTTTAGACTTCAACGTTAATTGCAAGTATAAACTAAATTTAACATACTTCTATGTTGTACACCATAGTCATAAACAATCAATATATAAAGGATAAATCACAATTTATTGGTTTAGAACTTTTATCAAACACCTAGTGGGCATAGAAGTTCATCCCTAGCCTTAGCTAAGAAATTAGCCTCTAATGCTCATATTAATCACAATACAATAATAAATGTAATGAAACATGAAATTACAAAGGAAATAATACCTAAACACCAATGATTTCAGAGGATGAACTTCCCTCCTCAAGAACTTGAAGAAAACACCAAGAACAAAAATATAAAAGCTAAGAATTAATCTATGGAATGGAATGTGTTTGCATGATGAATTGAGGGATTTATATAGGCTAAAGAATGGCATCTTTTAGTCTATTCAAGCCCAACAATCAGGTATGGAAGAAATATTTGATCAACAATGAGGAAGATGGAGTTTTCCCATCAAGAATAAGCTTGCACGTTGCTGTGTTTTAGCTGAAAATCGACCCAACCGGCGCCGGTTGGTCATATGACCGGCCCCGGTCGATAACAGGCTCTTTTAGTGCGTAAAAAGACCTTCCAACCGGCGCCGGTTCTAGACTGACCGGCGCCGGTTGCAGCGCCCAAAATTGTACTTTGGCTTTCTTCCTCCGGAATGGGTCAAAAAGTGTCGGGTTTTGTACCTGGATTTTGGGAATGTTCCGCTATGAATTTTGACATGATTCCTTCACTAAAGTTGTAGATAATGAAGTCTTCTATCCACCAAAACTTGAATAACGTGATTTTACTCATCCAATCAAACGTTATGGCTAAAACACTGAGAGGTATGCATCCTTAAATCCCACCAGCAACATCTGACTTTGTTTGTTGATTGAGTATTGTTCCTTTCATATTTTGGCCATGACGTCTCCATAACATTTGTTCCTTATTGAGTTAGCATTCACATGAATCTCGAATCGAGTGATTTCGAGTTCTATAAAATACGTTATACTCAAATTATGGGCAAAACGTCATCCTTTTGGTCCCAAAAGCCGTTCATCACAATGTTTTATGCTTTAGCTCTCATTTTGAAGTTGTTTTCCCGATTTCTCTTCTTTTCTTCAACAAATACTTATAAATACTTATGTTAAACACAAGTAAATATAACGGCTATCAGTCACCTCGCCCTTCGGCCAACTCCCTCTCAAGGGCGCTGACCTTTTTCATGAGAGCGTTGAGTCCAGGGTCGTTGGAGGCGCCGACCGTGGGGATGTTTGCCGATTGCCTGGCCTCCATCTGGGCCAGCCTCCTTTCCAGCTGGGCGATGACCTCGTCCCGAGGATCCCTGGCGACTGCAGCGGCGCCCAGCTGGTTCTGCATGCGCCCCTCGTGTGCCGCGTTGATCTGGTGGCGCACGTCGTCCTCGTGCAACTTTCCCTTGCCCTTGTCCAGGTGGGGCTGGTCCGCTATCCGGGACACAGACCCCAAGCTTTCTCTTGGCGAGCCAGGCCGACGCTCACCAATCCGCCCTGTCATCCTCTCCGAAACCGGACGACGGCGCGTGTCACCCAGCCTATTGAAGGCAGAGGCTTTTCCACGCGTTGGGGTCTGCCCAGGCCGAAGAGGGGAAACGGGGTGGGAGTGGTCGCCGTGTCCTGGGCTATCACCCCCTCATCGTTGCCTAACCTGATGGCCAACGGTTGGGGCTGAGGAGGTGGGGTGACGTTCCCCCCCAGCCCTTGGCAAGAGTGCGCTGAGGACGGTGGGGTTCTGGGCCAGGCTGGCGATGATGACCCACAATGCGGCCTGAACCTGTGGATCCACAGACGGAGAAGTCGCGGCCATAGGTTGGGTCGGGGCGTGGTCTGTCTTCTCTGCACGCTTCTTGTCCAGGCCGATGCGGGCATCGGGGGCTCCGCCGTTGAGTTGGTTGCGGAGGTCCGTCGTGAGGTTGATGGCCTCCTGGAAGACGTCCCCTCCTCCGACCTGGTCGGCCGTGGCGTCCTCCTCACGCTCCCTGGTCTCCTGATCCTCAGGGATGGCCTTGCTGACGAGGTTGCAGTTTGACTTGGTTCTTCCCATGATCAGTGGTTAGCTGTGCTTGGTAGCGACGAAGGGTGCTAACTTGATTGTTCTAGCTCTCAATGACAACACCAAATGATAGAGTACATATCTAGAGAGAAGTGAGAGCTAGAGAGAGAAGTGCAAGTAAATGCTTCAATAGAATGATTTTGTAACCCCTACAACTACCTCCAGAGGAAGTATTTATAGAAAAAATACAGGCTGGGCTCCCAAGCCTTGGGCTTGGGAGGCCCATTTACAACTGGACCGCTATTGGGCCGAATACAAAGTAAATGATGGGATATACAAATGAATAAGTGTAAAATCTAGTTCTGCGAGACTTCCGTGGCCGACGAACGTCTGACCGAGGAGGGCACGGCCGATGAGGGCACCCTGGTTCCCTGGCTTCAGGATCACATTCTGAGTCGGTCCCTCTTCGGCCGACGAGGGTCCTTTGGCCGACGAGGGCACTGCGTAGTGACTTGTACTTCCTGTCCTTCTGAGTATGTGGGTCCTGGGGCCTAGACCCATATACTCCATCAGTCATAAAGGTAGGATTCATCACGGTAGGTTGTCTATGGAGTATTGGTTTAGAGGAAAGGGTCAAATAGGACCTCGAACTTACAAAACAATGTCAAATAAGGTCTTATATAGGAGGTTCTGTCCCGCCGACGCTATTTGGGGAGGTTCCCGGTGGAATATTTTAATGAAATTTTGTGAGCATCTTATTCATTAAGTCTAGTTTACTCATGCCAAATTTCAGCTAAAACTTCAATTTTTAAAGCATTCAAATAAATTCTTGAAGATAACTGCGCTTTTTACGGCGCACTTACCTTCAAGAATTTATTTGAATGCCTTCCCGATTGAAGGTTTAGCTGAAAATTGGTAAGAGTAAACTACACCTAATGAGTAAGATGCTCAAAACGTTTCATTGAAAAATTACACCGGGAACCGCCTCAAATGGCGTCGTCCGTACAGAACCTCTTATATAAGGCCTTATTTGAATTTTTTTTATAAGTTCGAGACCCTATCTGACCCTTTTCCCATCAGTTTATCATACTCCTTGATTTTGTACGTAATTTTTACTGTGGTATACTGGTGTATCGGTAAATTTGGACAATGACGGAATTGAAACAATGACGGAAAGGAGACCCTGAACTTTCCTCCGGACAAAACTAGCACTTGATTTAATTTGGACGGAAAAGTGATCAAAAAAACCAAATGGACTCTAATACCGTCTAAACTAACTGAACCCACCTTCTCCCGACTCTCTCCCGTTTGTCCTTCGCAAATCCAGATCCGCGCAGCTCCGTCTTCAGGTCTCCGCATCCGAAGCTAGGTCGTCGCCTCTCCTCCATCTTCTGGTCACCGCCTCTGAGTCACCCCTCCACCTCAACGTTGTCGTCTGTTGCACGTCTTCTTCTTCTTCTTCTTCTTCTTCTTCTCAATTTCTGTCCGGCATATTGCGATGGAGACGAAGAGTCATGGGTTAAAAGAAGTCTACGACTTCAAATCGACGTGGAGGCTAGTTTTTTTTGGAGAGGGCAGTGGTCTGCTGGGGCTGGGGGAAGGATGTAGCAGTGATATGCCGCAATTGCAGGGTGCTATGGTGCCGATGTAGGGGGCTATGGTTGTTCAAGGGCTGGGGTTGGGAATGGGGTTGTCGAGGCGGCGGCGCTCATCGCCGAGGAAGGGCGATGGTGTGCAGTGGTTGGGGGTTGAATATGGTGGTGGGATGAGTTGGTTGTGGGGGTGGGGGCAGGTTTGTGGCAGCGTTAGTGCAGGGGAATGGGGGCTGGGAAGGGGACTGTCAGTCTGTCACGACGACGCCCATGCCAGAGGGTGGGGGCGGCGGGAGGCGGTGTTACCTTGCCATGGTGGCTAGCACGGGCAAAATTCAGATCGGGTAACTGTAATTGGGCGTACCGGTTAATATAATGTTGGATTGGGTAATGGTAAGTGATAACTGGCCGGATCAAGTAAATGTAATTAACGAATCGAATAATTGTAATTGATCAGGTCCGTCGAGTAACTGTAACAGATGAACTTGGAAGTGGCTATATGATTTACAACGTACAAAGTATTGAATAGTAGTATACATTTGATATTTTCATTCAAAAGTTTTTAAATGATTAGCACGGTTGGTCTCTTTTTTAGCTTTTACTAAAAGAGGTCCTAGATTTGCCCAATTCCTTTTTATTTGTAATATCTATGACCTAACTCCTTTACAATTTCTATCAATTTTGCGTCTATTTTAGATGTGTTAATATTTTATTTCTCCACCACCCCCTGTCCCCCTCTACGGATTGTTTTTCTCTACCAATCGATTTTTACCTCTGTTTCTTCTTTCTTCTTTTTCCTTTTGCTTTTATGCCAATAGTTCTTAATTTTATCTAAAATCAAATGAAATGACAATTTGATGAAAAACATCTTGTTCCTCTTTCAATAATAATACTACAGTTTTTTTAATTGAATTATCAAATATTGATTGTCCATCAAGTGTTTTAAAAATTTCTACCACAATATGTTTACATTATAAAATGTGCATGCGCCTTTTGTTAATTTCAGAACCAAAACTACCACATGAAGATGCATACTGGGTAAATCTGTCATATATGATTATAGCCGGCAAAGAATCACAATGAGACATACCAACCTAGATTGCACATAGCTGACTGGCTCAACAAAAACCGTCTCTACAGCCCCAACCAAATTTGAATACAAAACCTATTGCTATCTTTCAGGCCCAAGTGAATTGAGGTCATTCCAAGCCAACTTTTACAAGCTGCGGCTTTGGCGAGCTAACCTTCTCAAAGTTTGAGGTCCGGCATCCACCATACATGTTCTTTAAATACCCTCACCTAGTATATATAGATTACAGTAAAATTTAAAGTCAACAAAATGTTATAGTTTTAAGGTTTTACCCACAACCGCAATTAATGCAACACTTTACTTTTTCTTCCAGTGGCCTTTAACATTGTGTAAGTATCTCTACACCATCTTCTGTAATTAAAATGGTGTGTTCAAACTGTGCAGACAGGCCACCATCTTCTGTGACGACAGTCCAGTCATCATCCCACATTATAGGGTGTATGCTACCTATTGTCAACATTGGCTCTGTCCAGACACATCACAGTGTTCACAAACATAAAGTAATCATCATTTGGGGGAACCCACCTTAATGAGGAGAGATACTGAAATTAAGATATATACCAATGGTGAAAGTCTGATTGAGAACCATGCGTCCTCGGACATTGTTCCCTGTAAGACAGTGAAGAAAGAGTATCATATAAACTGATTCAAGTGAATATGGGTAGAAACGAAAACAGAAGAGTATGCTCAGTTTTGTGGGTCAAAAAAAATCCAGCTTAGTCGAATTTCTGAATCTTTTCTAATTTTATGGGTCTATTTAATTTAGCGCAGGAGGACCCGGCACTTTTAATTCACAGGAACACGGCAGCCTCTGAGGAGGGTACATCTTTATCCAAAGAAATTTTAATGCAGACATCATGGCAGTTGGATACAAGAAACAACAGCTTCTCCCTTCCGAAACACACCCCAAACAATCGCAGATTCAGTCTTACTCGGATGCGTATGACAGCTTTGATCCATCTGATGACTCATTTTTTCCAGACGATTTTCTAAGCGACAGACGACTACCCATTTCCAGTCACACAGACATCCGGGACACCAACTTCATTAGAGAGATTTGCTATAAATATCAATTCGTCACATTAGACACAAGCCTACCAACAGACAATCTGAATACACAACTCAAAATCCACAGAAAATCTCAGAAAGAATAAACGGCGTCATAGCATGAAGACTAGATCGCAGTCCAAAAAATTTCCATGGGCATAATCTGTATTGTCTTCTTTCTTTCAAGTTTGATTTCTTGTATTTCCTTTTTTCTTGCATTGTACTCAACCTTTCATTAAATAAAATATTTTCTTTCATTACAAAAATGTTTGAGATTGACTAATTCTCAAAGAATAAGGTGTTCTTCCCTTCATACCCAAACTTATTGTGCGGCACACAAACAAATTGTGTCTGAGAACAAGCAAATCTCATCTGTATGAAGGTAGTATAAAGGAAGGCTGGTGCACCAACAAACATTTATGAATGCTACAGTCCAAACTCCAAAGATAGTCTCCATTCATAAAAAAAATGAAATTAAATAACCGGTCAAGAATTCAAGATTAAAGTTATAGATAATTTACTGTAATGAAGAATGACTGGATCACTATGAAAAAAGCGTCCCACACCATGACCAACAAACTGTTCTACAACACCAAAATGATGCTTATCTGCAAGGTCACTACACAAGGAAAAAATAATGTCAACCAAAGAAGAAATCAAAGACCAAATATTTAGAGTGCTCGTTTTCACATGTCTAGAGCTCTATTGGTAAGGTTTATATGACTCAAATGAGACCATATTTTCTATTTTTCTTAAAGGAAAAGCATTTGATAAAATTCATTTCAATCAAATGAGCACGTCAAACGTTACTCATTCTGACTTCTTTTTACTGTGCTGATATATGCAGAATAAGATGATTAAATCTTCCATACAGGACCTTCATATGACTGCAAAGATTATCATATAATGTTCCAGAATTAAATTTTTGGAGACAGCTTACTGTATGGTCTTGCCAATTTTGTTAAATTCTACTCCTGGAGCACAAATTGATATTGCCCTATCCAAGCAATCTCTGGTTACCTTTCAAGAGGAAAACAATTACAGTTAGGAAAACAGGATGGAGAACCCTAACTGGATGACTAGGCAACTACGAAGAGATGATAGCATGGGAGTGGGAGACCATACATTAGAATACCAGTATGACAATATCTATATATGTGCACAGTACAGATTTTTATGTTTTAAGTGGGCTCCTTAATGCTTCAATTTTTTACTTTCACCCCGCACCCTAACCAATGCAGCCAAAGACTCGCTATTTTTTGGCTTGGGAATATGATCGAATAAAGCAAAGTGGTTCACTAAACTGTCTGCGCTTCTTTGTTATGAAGCAGTCAGTCTATGCAATTTTCGACGAAATTTTCGACGTAATTTTCACTATTGGTCATCCGGAAATAGTCTCTCTGTGTTTTAGTGTAGGGGTAAGACAACGTACACCGACCCCCCTTACCCCTATTGAAGGAAAGAAATAATTCAGTTTCAGGATTCTTTAAAACACAATATTGTAGTCAGCAGTTACATATCTTTGGCATTTACTATAGTATTATTTCATTTTCATTTTCATTTACCCCAGTGCCTCAAAGGCTCCCACCTACGGTGGGGTAAGGGAGGGTCGGATGTACGCAGTCTTACCCCTGTACTAAAGCAGGGTAAGAGTAGTAGTAGTAGTAGTAGTAGTAGTAGTAGTAGTAGTAGTACTAAAGCACAGAGAGACTATTTCCGGATGACCCTTAGTGAAAATCCCGTCCAAAATTGCATGGACTGACTGCTGCTTCATGACAAAGAAGCGCAAACAGTTTAGTGAGCCATTTTGCTTTATTCCATCATAATCTCAAGCCAAAAAATAATGAATCTTTGGCTCCATTGCAAATGATGGAAAAAATAATCTCAAGCCATTTACTATAGTATTATTATTTACCTTATATACATGATTAAGAGATGTATAAATAGCAGCCTTGTAAATCAGTTTTATACACACAGAAATATATTCAAAACATTTGTTCTCCTCTCTCTGTTATGGTATCAGAGCCAGTATAATCGGATGCCAAGGTAAGATTATTCAGGTTGTTGGTGACATGATTGGTTGCTCCAGAATCAAGTAACCATCCATTATGATTAGTAACAGCCGTGTTGACCTGAGGAGGATAAGCATGTTGTTCAAACCGATGCCAACAATTGAGAGCGGAGTGGTTTGGTTTCCCACAAATTTGGCACATAATATTTGCTCCGAAATTGGGATTACTATTCCCGGAGATGTTGCGGGTTGTCATATTGTTGGTGGTACCCCGAAAAGTATTCTGGCCACGTCGGTTTGAATTTTGAGAAAAATTGGGCCGCTGGTATCTGGGCTGACTCCCGGTAAAACCCCGGGCTGAGTTGTTTGTGCGGCTGGGCTGATAATGAGACGGGCCAGGGCCCAATAAAGAAGGTGTATTAGGCTGCCCTGGAGTTCTGCGGGTAGTAAATGTATTCGCCTCCCCCATCGCCACGTTATTCGCCGTCACCACGCCAACGGTCGTATCAAGAGCCTCCTTCCGCCGCAGAGTAGCTTCGAACCCGGTGAGCACGGCGTAGAAGTTGCCGAAACTGTTATCTCCACACGTGCGAATGGAGTTTGTGAAGGATTCAAACTCAGGTCGGAGGCCCTCCATGGCTTGAAGAACGAAGTCGTCGTCGTCAACAGGGCGGCCAGCCTTAGCTAATTCATCGGCGAGGGTACGGAGATGATGAAGATACTCACCCACTACCTTAGATCCCTGTCGAGTGTGGCGGAAAACATCCTTCATATTCCGGATTTGAGCTGCTGAACGGGTGCCGTAAAGCTACTCTAGGGTCTTCCACCCCGCAGCAGAGGTACGTGCGGATCCAACCAATGGTTTGCACGCCGAGCTCAGGGAGGAGACAAGGGCATGTCGGAGGAGACGGTCTTGACGATTCCACCGGAGATGGCCTGCAGCTTCACTGGCAGGTGGCGGAACAGCACCATCACTGATGTATTGGTCGAGATGAGAGCCAACCAAGAGGTCAAGCACTTGGTCACGCCATATGAGGTAATTCGTTCCTTCAAGTTTTTCCGGGAAGTGGCTGGGGTTGAGGATGATTAACCCATCTGGAGTGAGGGGGTTGATGACTGCAGTAGAGGAATTTGTAGAAGAAATGGTAGGCTGCCCGTTTTGGGAATTTCTGAGATCCCCTTGCTGAGGGGGGTCGTCTTCGGAAATCTATTTATGGCCTTAAACAGGCACCTCGTGTGTGGTATCAATCTCTTAGTGGCTTTCTTCTGTCACTTGGGTTTTCTCAATCGGTTGCTGATGCCAGTCTGTTCATCTTTTCCTCCCATTCATCTTACATCTATGTTTTGGTCTATGTGGATGATATTATTGTTACTGGCTCTACACCCGACTTGATACGTCAGACTATTGACTCATTGGCCCACCGATTTTCTATCAAGGATCTTGGCTCCCTACACTATTTCTTGGGCATGCAGGTTACTCCTACACAAGGGCGGACTCTTCCTTGATCAACATAAATACATTATGGACTTATTAAAAATGTTAAAAATGGATGAGGCCAATCCGGTAGCTACGCCGTTAGCTCCCTCTGCTTCATTAACCCTGTTTGACAGTTCAGGTACATGTGATGCCACTCTCTATCGCCAGGTCCTCGGGTCACTTCAATATTTGAATCTTACCCGTCCAGATGCTGCCTTTGCTATTAACAAACTGGCTCAATTCATGCATAAACCTACGGTCAATCATTGGCAACTTCTCAAACGTCTTTTGCGCTATCTACAGGGAACTGCTTCTCATGGCCTGTTTCTCTGTCCTAGCACATCCCCCTCTCTCCGTGCCTTTGCTGATGCTGAATGGGCAGGGAACCCTGATGACCGTTCTTCTACTAGCGCATATGCCATTTTTCTCGGGGAATCTCTTATATCTTGGAAATCAGTTAAGCAACGTACCATTGCTAAGTCTTCCACGGAAGCTGAATATCGAGCTCTTTCCACCGCTGCCTCTGAAATTATTTGGATTGAATCTCTGTTGCGTGAGTTGCGGCACCCGCTCCCTTCTCCTCCACTCCTCCTTTGTGATAACAAAGGTGCCACTACGTCTTCAGCAAATCCTGTCTTCCACACTCGCATGAAACATGTGGCAATTGACTTTCATTTTGTTCGGCAGCGGGTTCAACGTGGCCTTCTTCAAGTTCATCACATTCCATCCTCTGATCAGATAGCTGATGCCCTCACCAAACCGCTCCCCCGGCAACGCTTCATTCTTCTTAGAGACAAGCTCAGGATTTTTGGCAGTGACAGAATACCTGGCTTGCGGGGGCGTATTGAAGGAAAGAAATAATTCAGTTCCAGGATTCTTTAAAACACAATATTGTAGTCAGCAGTTACATATCTTTGGCATTTACTATAGTATTATTATTTACCTTATATACATGATTAAGAGATGTATAAATAGCAGCCTTGTAAATCAGTTTTATACACACAGAAATATATTCAAAACATTTGTTCTCCTCTCTCTGTTAACCCCACCATAGGTGAGAGCCTTTGCGGCACTGGGTAATGATGATGACCACGCACACTAACTGAGAAACTACCTGAACAAGGTTTTTGGCCTGCTCATCCACATCCCCAACAAAGAAAGTAGCTGATGTATCACCATGGTAACCCTATATATAACCATCAAACAGAGACGAAAATGAGACAGTGGCAACAACTTTATAGCATTAACTTCAATGCATTGATGGGTGGAGAACAGGAGGATGCATCTAGCTAACAGTAAACATTGTGATATGGATTGTCCCACAGAAGCTAACCTTAAGATACACAGTAACATCAATATTGATTATATCTCCATCCTGTAGCATTAAACAATAAGTGGTTTACAAAAGAAATATAAGCAGCAATATCTTCAAATTTAAGGGTCCATTTGAAAATTGAATGTTGAAACCTGAATGCTAGGGTAATAGTGGCCAAGTGGGGGATATAAGGGGATGTTTGGATGAAAATATAGTTTGAGCGTAAGTAAGAATTTGAGACTCTAAATCAATTATGCACTTTCGTATGAACTGTTTTTAGTTATATAAGTATTATATAAATAATAATTTTATAAAGACTAATAAAAAATTCCTTCACACTTTTCAAGTTAAAAACCAAACAAAAAAAAACAACTCCCCGTGTCATTTTCTCCTCGCCCTGTTATTCTTCATGTTCCAAACATAGCATAAAAGTTCAAGATGAATTATATGATAGGAACCAGACAATTTACTGTTTAAGTCCTAAAGCTATTACAATGGCAGACAATGGTCATTGACGTACAAAGAGAAAAACGGAAAGAAGAAAAGAACAGAGACACTTCGAGTAGTCTCATCACTCCCAAGTCCCAGACCAGATCCAAAATTCTCCATACCCTCTTCTTCTACTCCACTCCTATTTATAATAAAATTCCCTTATGGGCCGGCCCAAGCTAACTAGTACCTAGCCCAAAACCCTTATTTATACAATATCACATTCCTTGGTATAATTCTATTATTATTATTATTATTAGAGATCCATGTCCCTATCATTATATCCCTATTCCCTATACCAAACCTTAAGTGGCCTTGAATCAGGGATTCCATGGCAAATGCACTCATTCACAGAAGTGCATACACTCTTTGGAAATCCGCCATAACCAAGAGGTGATGGATATGCTCCATTGTCAATGATCATTTGGTGAACTGCTTGATCGATTTCATCTGTCGTGACGCCTGGCTGCCAAGGGAATTAACTATAAAGATTTAAATAAGTGTAGGGCGCACCATTTTAACTTATACAAGGTGATCCTGATATACTGTTCATTCATTGTCAGAATCACCTGTGTTTTTTGTAGAATAAGTCTGCATTTCATGAATGTAGTGAAAGGTAACTGGCCACTGTAATTGAGTGTTTAAGATTGTAATCCAAAAGATCAACGATAAAAAATAATAATGCAGAATTTCTAAACACAAATCCACCCATAAGGCGATCTAAAACACCGGGAAAAATGTTTTAAAAGGGGAAAACTCCCGAAATAGGAGTAAAAACAATGTAAAATTACAAAATAGAAGTATTATGTTTTTATTCCCTAAATAGAAGTAACTTACGCTCCTCCTAAAACTTTATCACCATATTTTGGCATTATAGCATTAATAAGACAATAATTTTTCCATAATTGGAAGTATTTTCCAAACATGGAAGTTATTACTCCTATTTAGGGAATAAAAATATAGTGCTCCTATTTTGGAATTCCACGTTATCTTAATTCCTATTTACGAAAATTTCATATTTAAAATGAGCCCATCTAGATGAAAATAAATCATGTAAAAATTATGAAGTACCAAATTTATCGTTTCCGTTTTTCTCCACTTAGACAAAGCTGAAAAATACAGATTTCAACAGATGTCACCTTGACTAAAGTCCCCGCGTACTGAAGGACCTTTGCAGCAAGCCTCCCAGAAGATCTCATGCTTTCTATCCCATTCTTATCATGTATTTGTGGTGCACCGGAAATCTTAGGTGGTTTCTTTGAATTCAAATATGGGGGCCTTTGTATATGATCAGGAACTGGTCTATATGGAGAGACTTTCCCTGGCTTCAAAGGTTCACGCTTTTCACTAGGAACAGCATCAACTTTTCTGGTATTTTTATTAGAAATCAAGAACAGACACATGAGTAAAATCTTGGACACAATTTAATCAAAAAGGGAGAAACAAGTCAATGCAGCAGAGTGAAGAGTAAGAAACGTAATCGAACACGGCATAAATGACCCAATGATATGCCGAATAAGTTCAAAACAGAGCAGAAACTTGCGACCATAGTAACTATGGTAGAGCATATGATCTTCTATTATCCAGGTCACTTAATTCTCAGATGTGCCAAATAGTTATTTATTTCCCAAATAGTGTTTAACACGTGCATGTCCTTTTTTTATTGCTGATTCAAGCTTTTTACTAAAATCCACAGGTGGTCTTTACGGAAACGACACCTCTAATCCTAGGGGTAGAACTTACATCTAAACCTTCTGGGACCCTGCTTCCAGGTAGGACATGCTATGAATGTTTGGTTTGGTTTGTGAAGAAAACCAACAAGAATTACTTTACATAGATGTACATGTTGCTAAATTGATCGTATGAACATGAAGTAGAAATGATATACCTTTTATTAAATAAAAAATCTGACAAACCCGAAAACGTTCTCAATGTTGGCATTGACACATGTTTTTTTCCTGGAGAAAAAATTCAAAGTTTAAAGGCAAACACCAAGCAGGCTAGGATGATAGATTGATAGAATGTGAATATAGTCCTTAATGATGCTTCAGTTATCTATGCAACGAATCCTATTTATCTTGGGTCATGATTATGGTTTTGTCCCATTTTTTCTTTATGTCATGTCCACTGATATTGGCAACGGTTGGAACGACAGCTCCCTTATCACTGATATCACCGTACCCAACACTCATGAAACTTCTAAAACCATTGATTGCTATGAAACATGGGAATTCTCAACTACACAAATTATCTATACCCTGAAAAGCTCCAATTCTCATCCACCATATGAGGATATAATGTCCACAGATAAATTGAGGGAACCACCACATGGTTGGCACTTGGCAGTGTCATCACACATAATCCAGCCTATTATTCTTGGACCCGCAAGGTAAAATTGATCCATAAATTGCCCGGCATTGATAATCATGACAAGTTGTTAGAACAAATCAAATGTAGAGTAACTGCCTACTCATCTTAATGTATAGGGAATCACTAGCGGAGAACTACATCAACGAATGACGTAAGGGAAGTGTAACTGAGTAATTATAGCAAGCACTTGGTGTGCATTCGCAGAAGAAGGCAGAGAAAACAACAGAAAACGTCACTGGACCTGGTATGCTGCTGAAGAGGCTGTGAAGTGAATTGGCTGAAGATAGGAAGCTACCGTCTCCAACAAATGCAGAGAGTAGACGGGGCTGAAACGCCGCCGCTGGGACGACCATTCTCAGTCTCAGTCTCCCTTTCTTTATCTGTTCGCCCGATGAAGATCCTTGGCACCTTCCATTTTTCTTGCTTTATTTATTTGCTCTCTGGATAGTTAGAATTAGAAGTGAAAATAAATAAATTTGAACAAAGTGAAAATAAATAAATTAGAAGCTATTGAATTGACTGAATCTAATACGATACTATATTATAAAAACTATATATTTAAGATATGTTTTAGGGAGAATTTGGTTTGCGCCCCATTTTTGGGTGATATTGGATTTTGCATTTCATTTGCAAAAAAACTTTGACTTTGTACAATTGTACCTCATTTAAAAAAAAATCTTCAAAAAATGTTATGTGTTGCAGTGTAAAATCAAAGTTTTTTCAAATTGAGGTGCAAAGTCCAATATCACCCAAAAAGTAGAGTGCAAAGTCAAACTTTCCCTATATTTTATTAATAGAATAAAGACAAAATTTTATGAAAAGTAACTAAAATGATCATTTACACTAATTCCAACTTCACTAATTTAGATTATTACATTGTTAGCTTGCGAATTCAAACATTATCTAATTCGTATAAAAAGTAGACCGATAAGGTTGATAAATTGCAAGTACAAGTTATCAAACGAACTTTTCATATAAAGATGTTGGTAATTTGGGAGAGAAATTAATTATTATAGAATTTTGAATTCAAAGCTTTTGCATTTTTGTTGTGTTTGTATAGATGTCTGTTTGCAATTAATATCAAAGTGATTATGCAATTGAATTTTAGTTTGAGCAAGTGAAGCATTAGCTAGGTTGATTTTTACTTTTTATTCTTTAATTGTATTATTTAGAAGGAAAATTAGGTGATGGGAGAATCTCTAGTCCAGGCAGGGGCTACTTTGAATTTGTTGTTTCATCGCATTTATTGTTTCTCGAAACTTCATTCTCCTTTTGTAGGTTTTTTCATTTTTCTCATCTCATCTCGTCTTTCTCTTCACTTTTTTTCTTCTATTAAAAGTCCATTCCTTCACTTCGTTTATTCTTAGCTCACGGTTACTAGTATAGTTTAGGTTTGAAATGTGTGCTGAGATTTGATGGGTAGTTCACTGGTATAGTTTTGTAGTTTCTTTTTTAGTGTCGAGATCTTTATTAACTGTCTCGCATTCTTTTTTGGGACGTTTTTTTATTATTTGTCTCTCTTTCTATTTTAGGAAAGTTTTTGATAAAATACCCCCACTTTTATTACTTTTATCCCTCTTACTTTTTACAAACTACTTTCTCTTTCCTACTTCATCATAACTTTACTCTACTTCATAGTTAGTTAAATACGGTACGGGAATTAAACGAGGTTTAATACGTATGCGTTTTATTCGATAACATTAATGAAAAAACGGTCAAAAATTCGTTCAAAAAAACGTTGACTTTTAAAAAACGTGTAAATACGTATAAGTGTATAATACGGTATTTCTTACAAAAAATCGGACAAAAAATACAGGTACAATTTTGAACATTTAAATTATATACTTCATAAAATAACATATATAGTAAAAAGAAATGAAAGTATACACATATTCAAGTAGCAAATCTCATTACTACATAAAAGAATAATTCGTAATTGCATAACTCGATGAAAAAAATAAAAATAGTAATTAAGTCCAAGACATGATTTTGTAAACTAATGTCAACAAATAAGACAAAAAAATAGATTGAGACTAAGTTAAAATGATATGATCATCAAATAACACTCAATTTAAATTCATCATTTTCTTCAAGATGACAGATGACATATGCGACTGCTACACGCGCTTCTTATTGTTTGTGTGTAAAAGTTTATACTAAAAAAATGTCAGGTTTAGAAAAACTTTAATTTTGACATGTTTGTTTGGAAAAACATCAGAAATCTAGTACTATATGGTGTTTTAAGTTTTAGTCATTAAGAATGGTAATTTTAGCAGTCATGCAATTAATTTTAGTATTTAATAATTGTATTTTAGCAATACAAAAACATGAGGTCACATGGACATGTTCATTCAATTCATCAATTCATGTTTTTATTTTTGTAAACTAAGGGATGCAAGCTTTAGCTGTCATGCAATTAATTTTAGTATTTAATAATTGTATTGTAACAATACAAAAACATGGGGTCACAGAGAGGAGCTTTTCTTTTTTGGTTTTACACTATTGTTGATCTCATATGCATTTAATGCGTTCATTCAATTGATCAATTCATGATTTTTTTTTATAAAATACGGGAAAAATACGTTTTATATGGGAAGTAGAAGTTTTTTCCTTTTTAAAGGGACCGACATTATTTTTCGTTTTAAACGTGTTTTTTTTTTGTTCAAAAAAAGGTACGCATTTTAAACGGAAAAAGCTAACTAGACTCTACTTAATATACTCTCTTTCCTACTTTATCATCACTTTATCACCACTTTATATACTCTATTTCCTACTTTATCATTTACCCTACACACTCTACATTTACCCTACCATTTTTCTATTAAAACCCGTGCCCAAGGCTAGCGGGACAGATAATAAAGAACGGAGGGAGTATATAATTACACACACACACACACACACATATATATATATATATATATATAGGTTTTGGTTCAAATAAGAATATGATCTTAGGAGAGAAATGAGAATGAATCTGAACGGTTAGATTTGTTTTAAGTGAAATTCAATGTGCATTAGATGAAACTGTAAGACTGACTGCAACCCGAAGAGTCAAAAGCCAATATGGGATTTTCAACCCTTAATTTGAAACAACTCATGTATACGAGGATGCCAAATTGGGTGAATGGCACCCCATGGAGTGGAAATTGGTATCCTTATTCACCAGGTGATGAAAGCAGTTGGAGCAAGTCTGCATTACTTCCATAAGCAAGGCCCCATGAATATAAATACAAAAATGCTTGAGGTACATAAAGTGTACACAAAGTGTACACAATATATATAACTTTTTCTTTCTTTTAACCATCCACTTTTACTTTACATCCATTTTACTTTCTCCTATGACTTCCACCTCTCTCTCATTCTCTCTGCGACCATGGTTCCCTTCTTTCTCATTTCTTTTTTTTTCATTTTCAAGCTCTCTAAATTACAACCATTTTCAATCCTTCTCCCCATTTAATTTTCATACACGATTCATTTGTCTCCATAGTTGATGATTCTTCTCAAACCATGAGGTAATATCTTTTTCCATTTCTTTTGGTTTGCTTTGCGTTTTTTATGTATTTGTTCTGATTTTATGTATATTGTGTATGTTATAACCTTGAATAATTGATTAATAAATTTTATTGTAAGAGATATGGAGTGGTAAATGTTGACCTTTTAGGGTAATATTTCTAGTTCATTTATGCCCATACCATGTTTGTTAAAATGACTCAATGAACATTTTGTTAAAATTCATGTTTTGTTCTCGTTTTTGCTGATGTATATTAGCATTTAATGAGTTTTAGACTCCAATTTTGTGATTTTTCTGTTTTCCTATGATACACTACATAGTAATTTATGATTAACTATTCTTTGATTATTATAAGTTTGGTGGATGTTCTTTTCTTTTAGGACTATATTTGTTTCTATTTTTTCAGATTTTATGTATGTTACTATGGTGTTCAATGTTTGACTATTTGGCTTCATTGTTATGGATTGGTGATGTTTATTATTCAAATTTCAATTAGTAATTTGATTTTCTTTGAATTTACTTCACCACAGGGCTTTGTGAGGGCAAAATAAAAGGCACGTTGATGATTGAGATGGCTTATTGGTCTAACATATGGTGGTTTCAAAATGGGGGAGAGCCTCGAGTCTTCAGGAATGAGCATCAGACACTCACCAATATATGAGTCTCTTCATAGTTAAACCTGCTTTGAGTCCCCTCATCCAAGATGACTCTCTTTCTTCATATATTTGGACAAAGCATGATATAAAACAAAACATGGCAACATTAAAGAATTTGGAAGTGAAGAATGAGAGCATCAAACCAAAGGACCACAAAAGATTTATGTTTATAATGACTTTGATGGATAGTCTACCCGGGGGTATGTATCCGAAGGGTTACTGCGGGGAGTAACTAGAGAGAAGTCGGAGCAATATTAAGAGAGAGAGAGTATATTGCTGAGAATGTAGTGAGCGAATTCAGCTTGGATTACAAATGGGGAAAAGGGGCGCTATTTATAGTAGTAATAAATGCCAGATAGGGGCACGTGTCATCATTCTGGTGGTCGAGGGGTCACCTCAACGGGGTGGCACTGGCACTCGCATGTGGTCGCATTAAATGTGGTGGTTGGATGTGACGTTTGTACTTGGTACGTTGATCCAGCGCATGTGGGTGGGAGATTCTGTCGAGGAGAAGCCTTCGCCCGTAGATGATTGACCGAAGGCTCTTCCTTCCGGGGGCACCCTAGGTGCCGAGGGTTCCAGGTGCCGAGGACTGCTGTTTTTACTGTCTTCTCCCAGTGTCTTCGTATGCTGAAAATAGCCTTTCTGTGAGTATCAGGAGCCTTCGGCCAAGGAGTCGAAGGCACCCCAGTGTGTATTGTTGGCTGCTTGGTACTCGGGGCGCTGTGATTTGGGCCTGTTGTGCTTCCTGGGCCTATTGGGCCTTGATTAGAGTAGTAGGAGTCTATGGGCCGGAGGTCCCTGGGCCATATACTCCATCAGACTTATATTGTAAAGCTATATTGTTAAATTAATTTGTAAGTTAGTGGAAAAGCTATGTTTTACTCTCATCATGATACATTGCTATAGTTAATTTGTATTCATTATAATTACTGGTTTAATAGAAAATGGATGTAAATCATGAATGTGTAAATTACTTTGCAAAATAGTTAAAAGACAATACATGGTCTCAGTTGGCAGTTTGACTTTGAATTTTCTCATACACAAGTTATGTTAATAGGCTTTTATGAAATTAACTTGCAGATTAACTTATTTCAGTGGCAATTATTTGTAACCTGCATTTCATGTCCCGTTTACAGACAATTTCAATAGTACATTTGTCCATTTCATTGGCTATTGCCTGTGACCGGACATTTCACATCTGGTTCACAGACAATTCTACTTAGCACATTAGTCTATTTTGGTGGCTATTGTCTGTGGTCACACACTTCATATCAGTTTCACAAACACTTTCACTTAGGACATTAGTCCGTTCAAGTGGCCATTGTCTGTAACCAGACAGTTC